TCTAATCATTTTTGTTGCTCTTCTCTGTACTCTTTCTAGAGTCTCAACATCTTTTTTACATCGTGGTGACCAAAACTGGATGCAGTACTCCAAGTGTGGCCTTACCAAGGCATTGTAAAGTGGTATTAATACTTCACGTGATCTTGATTCTATCCCTCTGTTAATGGAGCCTAGCACTCTGTTGGCTTTTTTGGCAGCTGCAGCACACTGCTGGCTCATATTTAAGTGATAGTGCTCCAGAATCTTTAAAAGATATGGTTCAATGGGATCACATCTGCCAGCTCCTCAGAACTCTGGGATGTAATTCATCAGGTCCCGGTGATTTGAACTTGTCTAGAATGGACAGGAGTTCTCTTACCATTTTCTGATCTATTTTAATTTGAATTCCTAGTCTGTCTTTTACAGTTCTGTTTTCGGTAGGTTGGGCTATTTTTTTCTTTTTCTGTGAAGACAGATGCAAAGAAAGAGTTAAACAGGTCTGCTTTCTCCCTGCTGCCTGTTACTTCCTTGCCATCTTCTCCCATTAGTGGACCAATTGTTTCTTTGATTTTTTTTCTTATTTTTTATATAGCAATAGCACTTAGACTTATATACCGCTTCACAGTGCTTTATAGCCTTCTCTAAACGGTTTACAGAGTCAGCATATTGCCCCCAACAATCTGGGTCTTCATTTTACCGATCTTGGAAGGATGGAAGGCTGAGTCAACCTTGAGCTGGTGAGGATCGAACTGGCAGCGGGCAGAGTTAGCCTGCAATACTACATACTAACTACTATGCCACCATGTCTGTGTATGTTGAAAGAAACTTTTTTAAATTATTTTTGACATTTGTTGCAAGCCTTAGTTCACTGAATTACAATGTCAAGTTTCTTAGTTCAAATTGCTATTCCTGTCTCCAAAGTTGAATGGATAATACCTCTTATTGCAGATTTTCCAAAACCTTTAGAGCTGAGGTTCAAAAGTGGATTAAGCAGACTTCCTCTTGGGTTAATTTCAGGGATCGGCCTCTGCTGTATAGCTGTCAGCAAACCAAGAGCAGTTTTATTCTATGGAGGAAGGACAATTTCAGCCAAAAAAAACTGCAAACAAAAATGGGTACCAGACGTTTCTCCATAATAGATGTAAGCTGAGTTTGCATAACCAAGACACTTCCCCAAAACCATTGGCTTCATCTCCTGAACTCAGTGTTTCTTATCAATTAACAGCATTGCCTTTCGACCAACAGAGCAGCATCATTATCTAATCTTACAGAAGCCAAAAGTGGTCAATGTTACTTTGGGTTCCCTTGGCACTGAATGACAGATTTTTTTTTTCTTCCTCAGAAGCTCAAGCTCTCGGACCTTGGAGAGAGAAAGACCTTTGTGAAATAGCACCCTTCCAGGCTCTCCGTACATTTGCTCAGCCCAGAAGAACTGCTGGATGCGAGTCTCTTGCAAAATCATGCATAGAATTTACCATTTGTCCAAATTAAAACGCACTACTGTGTTTGAATTAAAAGATCAGGCAAGTGTGCGGATGTAATAATTGTTAACTGTGAGACTCAAGGCTTGCGTTGCGTGAAAGAATTAACCTAACCTGCTGCTATCCTTGGAAAAACATTCAGTGTGCTTGTGGCAGAGGGCCAAGGATACACAAAAAAACCCCACAAAAGCAACCTCTGGA